TTTTCCCTTTTTTTTTTTTCCCCCCCCCCCCCAAACTTTACACTGTTACAATGGTTATGACTACTTGATCTTTTTCTAGTATTAATGAGCTACATGACCCAACATACCAGTACAGGGTTGACACCGGTAACTTTCAGGTAAGTTAATCTTTAACACTTCCATATGCATTTGTGTGTCTAGTAAGGTAGGATTAGAATGAAGGGGTCTGAAGTTAAAAATATATAAAATTGTTTCTGATTTCTATAACTGTCTTGTTGGAAAATTTTAAAGAAAACCATATCTTGAATGGATGATGTGAAGATGTGCTTTACTAGTTTCTGAGAAAAAAATTCCTATGCTTTTAGTTTTGTTTTTATTTTGACTAATGTAAATTGGCCTGTGGGGTTGGGGTTTTTTCCCCACTTTCCTTTTTCTAGAGACTTCTGAATGCTCCTTTTGACCTTGACAGCTGAGTGTCTTTGGGCACATTTTCATGGTGTCTTCCTTTGAATGCCATATTAAGTAGCCATAACGGTGAAGATGGTCAGAACTGTTTTTAAACATCTGCTTTTTTAAACAATTGCAACAACTCAGGGCTTCTCCAGACTTATCAGAAATAAACTCAGTGACTCATTACTTTCCAGTGAGCCACAGAGAGGGGACTTCAGTTAGGCCTTATCAATCCCCTATATCCTTTATTCCTTATCTATATCTCTTCAGTTTTCTGTATCTTTTCAGGAAATGTATTTGTTATTTTTAGAAAATTTCTGAGAATCAAGCTATTCCACTGATGGAAGTGGTGATTGCCGTTGCAAAACCCTCACTGACAAACAAAAATAATAATTAAAAAAACCCCAAAACCCTTGATACAACCACCACAGTCAGTCCCAGCATCACACCTCCTTTCTCCACCCTGCCTGTCCTGAATAAATCTCCCTCCATTCCGTACTTCTGGAGATGGTGGACCTCTGGTTCAGTAAAACTGCAACATTTTTTGTATTACAGGGTATGAAAGTCTTCTTCCTTGTGGTGGCAGCCATATACATTTTGTACCTTTTGTTCCTGATAGTGAGGGCATGTTCAGAACTTCGTAATATGCCTTATATTGGTAAGCAGTACTTTTCCTTTTTCCTTGACAAACAGGTTGTTTTTCCCTAGCTGTGTCTGAGCTCTGAGATGACTGACATTTTTTTGCCCTCTCAATCTTTCCAGATCTCAGGTTAAAATTCTTGACTGCATTGACCTTTGTAGTACTTGTCATTAGGTAAGCTTTTAAAATATGTTCTCTCAGCATTGTAACCTTTCTAGTCTTTTTAAATGTTCTTAAAGTAAAAGATGTTGGTAATATTTATCAATTATGTTACTAGATTTCATTTCATGTACCCATACTGTCTATCTTCACTCCTTCTCCTACAGCATCGTTATACTTTATCTGCGCTTTGGTGCACAAGTACTACAGGACAACTTTGTAGCAGAGCTGTCAACTCATTATCAGAATTATATCCTTCCATTGTGACTTCCAGTCTCTTATAAAAAGTTGTACTTACTTAATTTAAATGGATCCCCATGCTGGGTTTCCACTACAGAACTAGATTATCACAGAATAAGAGTGCATGGTACAGCTAGAAAGGTTCATGCACATCTTGTGCCAGTTATCTACCTTAGTAACTTCAAGGAAATCATGTTTTATTGCTGTACAAGTGGTACAGCTGCTCCAGTGCTATAACAGTGTCACTGATGACCTACCACTGATTTTTTTTTTTATTTTATTTTATTTTTTTTTTCTTAATACTAGGATGTGTAGCCCCATTCATTGAAGGCATAGACCAGGGGTGTCAAACATGTGGCCCAGAGGCTAGCTCTGGCTTGCAGAGCAGTGTCCTCTGACCTATGGATCGCCACAGGGATGGGGTGAGTGAGGGCAGGGCTCACTGCTGAAATCCAGAGTACAGAACTCCATTGGGAATGCATGTTGGTAGTGCAGGGAGGGGGCAGGCGATTGCTGCATTAACCACTGCTTGCTCCATTGCCACCGGTGTCTCTGGATCTGGACCACAAGGAGCCCAGTAGTCTGAATCCAGCCTGGGGTCCCAGGGAAGTCTGACATCCGTGGTCTAGACCCGGGGTTTCCAATGTGTTGGTGCCCAAGAGCACATCTGGATTTAAAGAAAAAGCAACAGGCACCAATATGAATATTAACATGTAGAATTTAGATCAATCCGATCCATTACTTAAAATTGCATTAGATCCGCAACTTCAAAATGCAGCTTCCCTTTTCTTACAAAAATATTTATGTAAAAAATATTTGTTGGAATAATCATTTTTACTGATTGTAAAAATGCATGCAGGCACCTGAATAAACCTTGGGGGGCATTATGGCGCCTGCAGGTGCTGCGTTGGAAACTGCTTGTCTAGACATAATAGCTTTTTATATGCATAAGTTTCTAACAAAGTGAGAGCAACAAAACTGGTTTCACAGTCAAGGAGTTGTCTCTGTTGTCTTTGACATGCAGTCTTTAAGTATGTTGGTGCCTTGTTCCCATCTCTGAAATGGGAACAAGTCAGGGCAAAGAAGCTGAGCAACTTCCCAGAGGCCACGTCTGGTATTTGTATCGGGGCCAGGATTATAACTTATTTCTGGCTTCTGGACTTGGACCACCAGAATACAGTTGACTCTAGGTCCTGAAGTTGATTATGGGACTGCAGATGTTTAGTGTTAGCTCAGAAGTTGTCGGGAACAAGCAGAAACCAAAATGTAGAGCTCTAATATACATGCTTCCCATGTTCTGAGAAACTGTTACTGTGCTTTAGTGTCCTGTTTCTGTGCTATCCCTTCTTTCTAATGTAATGCAAGGCAAAATCAAACTAGACTTCGTGGCTTATTTTCACTGCTGTGAAAAAAGCTGTTTTACACCAGGGTAACTACTGTGTGGAGCTATCCTCAGGTAAAACATACAGTTAAGGCACTTTAGTTTTACCAAGATGTAAATCTGCAAACATTTGGCTCTGTTTCCCCACAGTGGGATTTTATCTCATGGTAGAATTTAAGTGCCTAGTCTTCAGTGGATGTCACCTCAGGATAACGTGTGAGACCTAACCCTGGAGTAAAAATCCCTGTTTCATTTAGCAGTGAAAGCAAATCCATGATATTCCAGAACTTGAGGCAATATAGTGAAAACTCTGTGCATTGAAATTGCTAGGAAACAAGGTATTATGGCATTTTAGAGACAGACTTCTGTAGGGAAAATTCTGCCTTGCATGTGATTGGTAGCTTGCTTTAAAGTTTAATTTGTATTGATTGAGCTGAATTATGTAATGTCCTTGACCACTACCACCAGCAGAATTCTTATCATTCTATGGTTTGTTGAACTTCTATCTCTACACACTAGCCTTCGTGTATTCCCCATCAAAGAATGCACTATATGGTAAGTCAACTCCTGTACATTTTTTCAGACTGAAGTTCAGGACTGCTGTGTTAGTAGACATCTTAACACATGCGTTGGTTGTCTTTAGAGCTTTGTTTTATTTTTTATTTCTATTAAGTACAAGCTGCCCATGTTTCGGAGCAGCTTCAAACAACCAGTAGCAAGCCACATGATAGAAATGTGTTTATAACCAGTCCATGACATTACTACCTTTGCTCTATGCACTGTGATAATTTTGAACATTGCAGCCAGCCAATTACAAAATTTCTGGGAACTCCTGATTTTTTGGGGGGCAGTAAAACTGGAAATCTGAGTGTGTGAAAATTAGATGCATAAAGTCCGTACCATGCTATTAGCAGAACCATAGCTTCAGGCACCTCTGCTGTTGTTCATAGGCTAACCTATCTGAAAGAATCCCTTAGTGCCTTCCAGTGCACCTACTACTTCTTCTAGGAGAATTTAACGTGTTGATGTATTGATTGATTGATTTTCCAGGCAGATAATTCTCTTGAAGAGGGGAAAGGATTGTACATACAGGCTTGGTTTGTGATAAGTGAACAATCAGGGGAGGAACTTCTAGTATGGGGGGTAAAAATCATTACCCCAGTGTAGAATGGAGTGTGCAGAGCTGCTGGCATGGAGGTGAATGGGGGCCCTTGGAGTGGGGTAAACAGTAGCAGAAAGGATGAAAGGGTATGTGAAGTCAATACAGTCTTTGCCATTGGGAAGAGAGACCTTGAGGGGACCCCAGGATCTTTGTGCTGGGGAGGAGAATTGCAGAGAGTCCTGAAATAGTGGGGGTTGGGAGACCAGCACATGGAGAGCTTGTAGGGTGGAATAGAATGGAGAAATTAAAGGAGTTATTGGCATGTGCAGTGAGCTCATCCTATAGAAGCCAAGTTGGTAACCTGTTCTCTCCCCCTCCCAGCCCAGTTACTACATATATTTAGCATGCAGGAAAATAAGCAGTTATTTTAATTATTTTCTGTTGCTCTAAAAATTGAGTATAATTATGCTGGGGGGACTTCAGAGTTTTTTCTCACCACTAGAGGGAACAAGCAAATGGCCAGGTGGAACCAATTATTTCAGTCTATACCTGGGTAGGAGGAAATAAATAGAGGTGCACAGATATATTGGTGGCATATCAGACTGGCACTGATAAAAGGAAAATTTAACATTATCAGCAATTGGCTTTTATTAGCTGATGTAGCTGATCATGTCCCCAATTTAAATACTGAGTGCATGTGTGAAGCCCCAGCATGCATGTGGCCAGGAATGCAGCCAGGCAGCTTGGCTGTGGGAGGAAGGGGGTGTGGGTAGGTGCAGATTGAGGCCCCCATGGTGAGGGAGGGAGTGGGGCAGGGGCAGGTGCTGCCCAGCCGGGGTGGTAAATCCAACCCCAGGAGTGGGACAGAGCTGCAGGCAGCTCGTTCAGGGGGATAAGGGGTGGTGGGAAAGGTGGGGTAGCTCCCTGTTGCTGTGCACACTTTGGGGGAGGCATGGGGGGCATGTGCGCCCTTGGATTTGTGCGTGAGATGAGGGCGGGCTGCAGGCTCAGGGCCCATGTCTGCGCCAGCCTCTTCCCAGCAGGGGACTGGGCCGGGGCTGTGTTTGGGGCAGGCAGCGGCAGTGCTGGGAGGGGTGGCTACAGGGAATTTTGGGGTGGCTGTAGCCCATTCCATAGTCACTCCTCCCAGTGCCATCCCCCCACTGGGAAGAGGCTGGTGCAGCCCCTGATCCTGAGCCTGCAGTGGGCAGCCCACCTTTGCCA